ATAATTATTAAAAAATTTATTAATATCATTAAGATGATCTTAACTCCATTGAAAAAAAATAGCTAGTTTCTGTAAAGCGTATCAGTTTGTTAAAAAAAACCTGCCATTAGACTTTTAATTATATAGCTGTTTATTGAAACTCTATTGTAATAATAGATTTTTTATAAATAGCTAACTGTATACAAAATATGTATAATTAAAAGAAAGGCTTTTTTTAATAACACATATTAAACAAAATTTTAAATATAAAAGCAAAAAAATTTAGTTTTTTCATTTTATAAAGCTCATTCATATATAAGAAAACAAAATTTTGTAAAAATTACTAATTATTTATTAAAAATTTTTTATCTATTATCTACATTAAATAGGTAATTATAGCACTTCTCTATTATTATTTTTTACTAATTATCAATAGCATACCAGGTGGGTTCTGGTATACTGAGTGGGTAGTGGGCTATTGCAAATAAATTAAAATAAACTATTATAATTATATAGTATTTAACTATTTATATATTAACTATTTATTAATTATTTAATTTTATATATATATAAATATGAATACATATATTTCAAATTGGTTGATATTTAGTATAGGTGAGAATATATAAAATTATAAGATTATTTAATATAAAAATAATTATTTGAACTAATCTAAACAGATTTGAAAATAGTTAGGGTTAGGGTGAGGATCATAGTATAGTTTATAGTTAGCTTTGGGTTAGGGTTAAAGTTTTTTTATATTAAATAATCTTATAATATTTATATATTCCCATCTATACTAAATAAGATCCTTTAAATTAATTGAATTGTTCACACAATTTCACTAATCCTAAGCTTAGTCACCTTAAATCTTTTAAAATCAAAATATTACTTAATAGTCTATCTACACACTTCCATTTCTACTCTATATCTCCTAACTTATTCCCTTCTTCTAACTGCTTTCAATACAACCTTCCTAACTCTCCTTCTCACTGGTACTCTTGTTCTTGCTATAATCTCCTATTCCAAATTATTAATTTCTCTATTTCAGAAATTATTTTGAATGCTAATCTTAATCTTGCCTCTTATGAACTTAACTACTTAATTCATACAATTTTATCTCATCCTTCCTTCTCCTTTCATCCTTCTATTCTCTATCTATATTCTCTTTATTCTACTCTTAAAAGTCTTATTCTTTCTTAACTTATCCAATGCATAGTACCATTTGACATATTTTATTTAATAGCTTCTTAGCTTATTATCAAAATCCTTATCAAAATTTCTAATCAAATTTACAAACAAATTTGGAAATCATACTGTATCAACTTTTCTACTTGGAAAAAAGCACATCAAATATCATTAAGTTTTACCTCTATTTAAGTTAGTTAACAATCTCCTACTCGCCTCTATACTAGAACTCGTAACACTTTCACTTACAACTATCCATGCAACTTACTTGATCAATTACATTCTGATTCCTTTTCTTGCCTCTCAGCTGGGCTCGCTAAATTTAAATTTAATATCTGGTCCACTTTGTGGATCCAGTTCAGTATTCCTACTAATTATATATTAACTATTCAAATCTAGGTGAGCTTTGACCACTCTAGTAGGTTTAGGTTGCAGATAAATTAGTCTGAGCTTTTATTCTTGCATGTAGTTTATATTTATTCATTTATATATGAATTATGTCTTCATTTAGTTTTGTTTCTTTATGACTACTTATATAAATTACTCAATAAAGATATGAGCAAGGCCTTACCTTTTAACATTAAAAAAAAAAAGAATTAATTGGATATTTTGTAGATTTTTGTAAAAACTAAATGGTAAGAAATTTTAAATTCAATATTCAAAAAAAATTATATATAAATGAGCTTTTCAAACCAAAATCGTAAATTACATATATAAATATAAACAAATGTAAATAAATAAATAAATATAAATATAAATCTATATATAAAGGGGGCTAGTAATCATACTCCTCACATTTGGTATTTGTATCCCATGATAGTAATTTCTAAAAATCACGTGAGCACGTGATGTTCCTATATGTGATTGGTTGCACAATTATATCAATCTTATTTCGATAATCAAATATGCTGTTTAAATTCTAATGCTAAAGAACAAAAGGCAAAGAGTGAACAAGATCGCAATAATTGAAATTTTTAATGTATATATTTTTTACTTAAAAAGAGCTAATAATAAAACAACTGGCTTCAATTTCATAGAGGTAAAGGTTAAGTTGAATTTTTACTTTTGATTTCTACATTTGATTAGTGTTGCTTCAAATATAAAATAATCTAAACAACTAATACTACGTTTATTGCTTTTTTTTAGATAAGAACATGATTTTATTTAAAGCTAAGTATATTGATTTTAAACTTGTTCGCATAAAATAAATCAAATAAACTATACCAATTCTTTATTTTGTACTTCTATTTAAACAAGTACAAGCATTGTGGCCAGGCTGTTTACAAATACTACATTGCCTTGCTTTATTATCAACCAACTCAAAGCAAGAGGGATCTCTTGTTGTTGAGCTGATTTTGAGTACTAGAAGGACGTCCTTTGGTACGAACAACTTGGGGGTTCTGTAGAGTTATTAGTGGGCTATCAATTATATCATTTAATGCTTTTCTGGCTTCTGTTTGCTAATGTATAGGCTATTCCTGGTATCTTTGTTCTAGGTTCTGTAAGAGAGATTGCAGTAAGTTTTCACCATAAAAAATGGCTTTGAATTGTGGTACTGGTGTATGCCCTTGAATCCACCAATTTCTATAGATATCATCAAGTGGCAAGCTATTGTTATTTTCAAAGGTTTGAATATAATGAGCACAAGGCAGGTCAGGACCCTGAAATATTTATATATAAGTCAGATTTAAGAATGCGTCACTATCATAAAGATACTAAATAAGGTTAGATTAATATTTGTATATTTTTTAAAAAAATTATTAAGAAGGTTAGATTTTTTAATTGTATATATATATATTAAAATTTCATATGTAAGAGGTCGATTTGCATATTTCTAGCATATATTTAGTAATAATATTTGGATAAAACCTGCTTTTATATAGATGATCAAATCCGGATGAGATTTAAAAATACATAGTTTTTGAGGCAGCATTTTATTGAATACATACAAATTTACACAACATTTAATTATTAAAGATATATACTTATTTAGACATTTTTTGAGTAACTAACTTAGATTTAAATACCTGTTTTTTTTTTTTTACTAGTCAATTAAGTTGATAACACTAGTACTAGTACTAGTCCAAATAAAAAAATCAGTAATAGTTCACTCCAGTTGAACCTATATTAATGAGCTACTGAATGTGCTAAATATATACTGGTTTTTGTTAGCATTCTGCCAATATTTAACCAGTCAACTAGCTGAAAATTGACAGAACTTGCAGAATGCTTGTAGAATGCTGACAATTACCAGTATATATTCAGCACATTTAGCAACTCATGAATATAGTGTACAAATTTTGAGTTTTACTATTCTGAACTTAGAAATAATACATAACTGTGATTCTCACTTTTTTGAAACCTACCTTCCCGAAATGACACAACCAATTCCCCAACAACCTAGATTTCTGAAAATTTTATTCAACGGACTTTTTTACCGACAAAACTCTTTCTCCAAACTCCTGTTCTCAAGACAAAAATTTTTTTAAGCCTTTACCAACAAATATTTGATATATTTCCCCAAAAGGATGTTTTTTCGAAAAAAAATTTCAAAAAGAAATTACCCAACAAGATGTCTTCTCTATTAAACAAAATTGTATAAATCAGGCCAACTCGACATAAACCAGGCTAACTTTGTTAGTGAAATGGCTATCAATAAAATGGTTGTCGGCAAATTAGTTCATACCTTTTTTCAGGTTATTAGCGAAAATATCCTTCAGTAAAAGAGCTTTTAGTAATAGATTTTTAAAGAAATAGAATGTCAAAAAAATAGACCATTCAGAAAATGGACATGTTAGTAAAATAAACATTCATCCTTTTAATATTCAGTGAAATGGAAATTGCAGATAAATGACTTACCAGTAAAATTTATTATCAATTAAATGATATATCAGTAAAATGAGACTTTCAGAATTATGTCTTGTTAGTAAAATGGGATACCAGTATTATGACTTTGGCAAAATGGTATTCAGTAAATTGGTTTTGGGAAGTTAAACCGTAATCATACATAACACTGGTAAAGCTTAAAAAATGTCTTGTTGAATGGCACGATTCGAATGCTATTTAAACAGCTATTTGACACTATTATATGCCTTCGTGAACATGCATATCCATGAAATTATGTGATAGTGTTGAATAGCTATTTGAATGGCATTCGAATTGTGCTATTCAACAAACCAATTTTTAAATATTGCAAGTGTAATTCATGCAAATTATGATTAATATTCAAATTGCCCAACAGTATAAGCATTTTACTTACATTACAGCATTAGTGATTGTGTAAGAATGTAGTGTAATGTGATTGGTCAGTTATATGTGTATACCGGTCAGTTTGTTAGAGTCTATTGTAGTTTATGCGTAATAATGCATTAAATATGCATTATTAATTACATAGTAGTCTAGTAAACCAGATATATAAATAGAAATAGAGTAATTAATAAGCAAATATATCTCTTTTTCATTGTTAATAAAAATCATAGCAATAATAACAAAAACTGTGCACTACATCCTAGTCACTTCAAGTATTGGTTCAAAGTAGATGATGCTATGGAGAAAAGTCTCATCTAGTATTGTGTGAATGCGAAAATACTAACAATATAAATGCATGATGTTTCAATATGTCAAAACAGAAGTTTCAAAACTTTGAAATTTTAAAATTACCAGATATTTCAGAAAGCTTGTATGAAAACCTGTATGAAATTTCCAATTATTATTATACATAATTATGATATTCCAATTATCAATATTACTTGTTTTTAAAGTTTATTAGTATTAGCAATTCACTTAATCTCTACCTTTAAATAAAACAATAACAATATTGCAATATGTAGATTAGAAAAAATTCTAAGTAGTTTTTTACGAATGAACTTTACTTCTTCTAAAAGTTTAACTAATATGTGAATAAATGAAAAATAAATTTAATCTTAATAATTTTATTAAAAACTCCGGTATATAGTTCAATAGAGAAACTTCAACAATAAAAAGTAATAATTTTACAAATAATTTATACTTTAATATATAGTTAATATATAATATATATAATGAAAAAAATATTAAAAAACTCTTTCCGGTTCACCCCTGAAAATCATTGACAATAGTAAAAAAGTAAACAAAATCTTTGCAAGTTTTTAGTATTATAGTAATTCA